TCCTATACAGTGCATCCAGAAAGTATTAACTTTTGCCACATTTTGTTATGTTCCAGCCTTATTCCAAAATGGATTAAAATATTTTTTTTTCCTCAACATTCTACAAACAATACGCCATAATGAAAACATGCAAGAAGTTCATTTTGAAATCTTTGCGATTTATTAAAAATAAAAAAGGAAAAAAAACATATGTACCTAAGTATTCACAGCCTTTGCTCAATACTTTGTTGCAGCACCTTTAGCACCAATTAGCCTCAAGTCGTTTTGTGTATGATGCTACAACAGGCCTAGGAGTTTCCACTCGTCTGCTCGTATTTTGCGAGTGGAAATAACATGGGAACGAGGGCCAGATCGATCAAACAGGATACCATGGATATGGAGCAGGGTGCCGACACCAGAGGAGGAATAAGCTTTCAGGCATTAAGCACTCACACACTACCCAAGGGCCCAGAGTCCTTAGGAGGTCCTATGACAGGCTCCTGAAAGGATGGGGAGGGGCCGCAGGGTGGATAGTGCAAGCGTGCTATGAGTCCGGTCCGGGGAGAGGAGAGAGTGACTGACAGAGCCCAAGGAGGAGGAGAATTCACAGACTGGTGAGAACTCAGCATGTAACAGTGGGAGATAGGGGGAGAAATGTCTGTGACAGGAGTGCTTAGAAACGGAGTGTGACAGGCTGAGAGAGCTAGAGGGGAGACGTGCGTGCATGCGTGTGTGTGTATGTGTGTGTGTCTGTGTATGTGTGTGTATATGTGTGTGTCTGTATGTATGTGTCTGTGTGTGTGTCTGTATGTATGTATGTATGTGTGTGTGTGTATGTGTGTATGTGGTGGTGGTGGTGGCTCTGTATTCACTATGTAGTAGGGGGCCCTGTGTGTGTTCTGGAGGGGCGCATTGTACCATAATGGTGACCATGTGTTCTAAGAGGGGGGTTGTGTGCTCCTTATAACCTCAAATTATGGGGGGATGGTGCCATAATTGTGAGTAGCAGAAATACCAATCACCCCCCTTTTTTGCCCCCCTTCCCCCCTCTTTTTCTCTCACCCCCTTCTCTCTCTCACCCCCCTTTCTTTTTTTTTTAAAGGGGGTAGAGGACATGGGTATGGGGAGGGGGGTGAAGGAGGGTTTATATTTATTTGTGTAACTGTATTCTGCATAAAACATGTCACAGTGTCATTTAATGAGAGAATTTACGAGGGCGTGTTTAGGGGAGGGATTGTGGGTGTGGCAGGGTAGAGATTGGGTGGGGCAACTGGTGGTGAGTAACTCTTAAGGCATTCTAGTAGCTCAGGACTTGAAATTTTAAGCCCTGTGCTACAAGCTTGGCACCCCATTATTCTTTGCAGTACCTCTCAAGCTCAATCAGGTTGGATGGGGAGCGTCGGTGCACAGTCATTTTCAGATCTCTCTAGAGATGTTCAATCGGGTTCAAGTCTGGGCTCTGGCTGGGCCACTCCAGGACATTCACAGAGTTGGCCCGTAGCCACTCCTTTGTTATGTGGGCTGTGTGCCTAGGGTCATTGTCCTGTTGAAAGATGAACCGTTGCCCCAGTCTAAGGTCCAGAGCGCTCTGGAACAGGTTTTTATCAAGGATGTCTCTGTATATTGCTGCATTCATCTTTCCTTCAATCCTGACTAGTCTCCCAGTTCCTGCTGCTGAAGAACATCCCCACAGAATGATGCTGCCACCACTATGCTTCACTGTAGGGATGGTATTGGCCAGGTGGTGAGCGGTGCCTGGTTTCTTCCAGACATGACGCTTGGCATTCGGGCCAAAGAGTTCAATCTTTGTTTCATCAGACCAGAAAGTTTTTTTTTTTCTCATGTTCTGAGGGTGCCTTGGCAAACTCCAGGTGGGCTGCCATTTGCCTTTTACTGAGGAGTGGCTTCCATCTGGCCACTCTACCATACAGGCCTGATTGGTGGAGTGCTGCAGAGATGGTTGTTCTTCTGGAAGGTTCTGCTCTCTCCACAGAGAAACACTGGAGCTCTTTCAGAGTGACCATTGGGTGCTTGGTTACCTCCCTGGCTAAGGCCCTTCTCCCTTGAGTGCTCATTTTGGCCTGGTGGCCTGCTCTAGGAAATTCCTGGTGGTTCCAAACTTCTTCCATTTATGAATGATGGAGGCCACTGTGCTCATTGGGACCTTCAATGCTGCAGAAATTTTTCTGTACCCTTCTCCAGATCTGTGCCTTGATACAATCCTGTCTCGGAAGTCTTCCTTGGACTTCATAGCTTGGTTTGTGCTCTGACATGCACTGTTACCTGTGGGACCTTATATAGACAGGTTTATGCCTTTCCTAATCATGTCCAATCAACTGAATTTCCCACAGGTGGACTCCAATCAAGTTGTGGAAACATCTCAAGGCTGATCAGTGGGAACAGGATGCACCAGAGCTCAATTTTGAGTGTCATAGCAAAGGCTGTGAATACTTATGTACTTGTGTTTTTCTTTCGTTTTTTATTTTTAATACATTGCAAAGATTTCAAAATGAACTTCCTTCACATTGTCATTATGGGGTATTGTTTGTAGAATGTTGAGGAAAAAAATTCATTCACTTATTCTAAATTCAATCCATTTTGGAATAAGTCCGTAACATAACAATATGTGGCAAAAGTTAATCACTGTGAATACTTTCTGGATGCACTGTAGGTGCTATTGTGTATAGGAAATGAATAAAACAGTAAACTGTAAATTACATTGGTTGTTATTAATGTAATTAACAAATTTACTAAGTGAAATGTCATCCCCATTCCACACCAACAGCAGGCCATCGATATAGTGCCCATACCAAGTTATGTTGTGTGCAAAGGGATTGTCAGAAGAAAATATACAAAGATCCTCCCACCATCCCATGTATAAATTTGCCATACATGGCGAAACTCTAGCCCCCATCGATGCTTCACAGTGCTGAAGTCGTCCGCTAAAAAGAAAGTAATTATGTGCCAATAAAAATTCAACACTCATGAGAATGAAATCCTGTATTTCCTGTGAATAAGTGCTATATCTTTTCAAATGCTATTGGACTGCCTTCAGTCCAGCACCATGGGGTATCGAGGAATATAGTGCCTTCACATCTAGAGTGGCCCATAGATAACTAGGTGACCATGCCACAGATTATATATATGTTAATACAATAATGGCTTACCAAATATAGCCAGTGGTTTTTAATGGCAGTCCACCCATTCTCCCAGATGTTAAAACACTCTGACACCCATTAATGAATTAATGTGTTAATTGAATATTCATGTTGTTAGGTTGTTTACTATATATTGTGCCATTCTTTGTATATATTTGTTGTGAACAAGGCTGACATGGTTGAAACGCGTTAACATATGCTGTACCACAGGTGTCTTTTATGGAGTAGTAATACATTTTTAAGAACACATATGGAGTTGCGGATCAACTCCTTCTACAGTATGTCTTATTCTTTACTGTGGACCACTTAAGTATTTTATGAACCTCAGGACTGTTGTCCAAGACACTGAACCTCAGAGAAAAAGGCAGCATTAACATTCGTATAAGTATTTGGAGAGGGACCATTGACACCAATGTAAGGAGTATTGTTCCCACATGACCGCCAACGTAAAGGGCATTCTTCCTCATGACCATTTATTAATGTGTAATTTTTCTTCACTTTGGCCAGTAACACAATGGGAACCTTCTACCACTAACCAACACCAAATGAGGGTTCTTCCCACTGACCACCAATATAAGGGACATTCTTCTCACTGACTACCAATGTAAGGGACATTTTTTCTACTGACCACCAATGTAAGGTAAATTCTTTCCACTGACAACCCCTTCAAATTTCATTCTTCTTCCCACTGACCTTCAATGTAAGGGGTTTTCTTCCCATTGACCACCCATTAAAATTAAATTCTTCTTCCCACTGACCATCGTGTATGGGGCCCCTTCTACCTCAATGTATAAGGATTTATTCCCACTATCTGTAAATGTAATTGGTATTCTTCTTCCCACTGACCTGCATTACATTGACCTCCAATGTAATGGAACCCTACTCCAATAACCAACAATCCAAGGGGTATTCTTCTTCCCACTGAGCACCAATAAAGGAAGATTCTTCCTCTCACTGAACACCAATGTAGGGAGCATTGTTCTTGTCACTGCTTGTCATACTTGTCAGCATAGTTCTTCCAGCTGACCAGCAATGTAAAAATGTTACTCTTCTTCCCAGTAACCATTTTTTGCAAAAGTAATTTTACTCTTACTTAACACCACTTTACAGGAGCCCTTCTCTACTGACCACCAATGTAAGGGGTATTCTTCCTCCATCTTGAACTCAAGTGTAAGTGCTATTCGTCTTACCCATAGAAGAACTTTCAAGGGCACTCACAGTAAATAATTATCTTTATTGATGCAAAATCACAAAGGCTAAAACACACTTAAAATGTATCAAGTCAATGATTGTTTCCTGTGTAGTACTCACATGTTCTCAAGTATGGCTTGAGAAAGGCACATTTTCTGCTTGGGAGATGGTCATTGGCCAGATGGATTGTAAGCGTTTTTAGCCATTGTATTTTTGTATCAATGAAGAGAATTCTATGCAATGAGTGCTCTAGAAAATTCTTTTATGGAGTACAACTGCTGTTGAACTGTGACAAGTGAGCACTGAGACCCTCTTTTGTGGATGATACGGGAAAATGTATGAATCTCACGTGGTAATTTCTCTTGAATATAAAAGCATACTTTTCTCTCCAGAAGATTAACTGAGGGTCATCCATTTTTTTTAATTTTTAAAGACCATCAATGTAAATCAATGTATTTTTCCTTCCACTGCCCACCAATGTTAGGAGCATTCTTCCCTCCGATTACCAATTTAAAGTACATTCTTCCTCCCAATGACTGCTAATGTACAGTAGGGGGTATTCTTCTTACAGAACATTAATGCATGACTTTTTTACTCTTCCTGACAACCAATTTAAGAGAATCCCTTCTCCAATGACCATCAATGATAGCGGGATCCTTCCTCCCAAGAACCAACAATGTAAAGAGCATTATTTTTATCACTAACCCCCAATGTAGGAGAGATTCTCCCTCCTAGTGACCATCGATGTAAGGGGCATTTTTTCTCACACTGACTACCGATGTAAGGGACATTCTTACTTCCACTGGTCACCAATGTGTAAGACATTCTTCTCACTGACCACCAATGTAAGGGGCATTCTAACCACTGACCATCAATGTAAGGAGCATTTTTCCCACTGATCACCAATGTAAGGAACATTCTTCCCACTGATCACCAATGTAAGGAGCATTCTTCTCACTGACCACCAATGTAAGGGGCATTCTAACCACTTACCATCAATGTAAAGAGCATTCTTCCCACTGACCATCAATGTAAGGGACATTCTTATCACTGACCATCAATGTAAGGAGCATTCTTCTCACTGACCACCAATGAAAGGGGCATTCTAACCACTTACCATCAATGTAAAGAGCATTCTTCCCACTGACCATCAATGTAAGGGGCATTCTTCTCATTGACCACCAATGAAAGGTGCATTCTAACCACTGACCATCAATGTAAGGAGCATTCTTCTCACTGACCACCAATGTAGGGGACATTCTTCTCACTGATCCCCAATGTAAGGAGCATTCTTCTCACTGACCACCAATGTAAGGAGCATTCTAACCACTGACCATCAATGTAAGGGGTATTCTTCTCATTGACCACCAATGTAAGGGGCATTCTAACCACTGACCATCAATGTAAGGAGCATTCTTCCCACTGACCATCAATGTAAGGGGCATTCTTCTCACTGACCACCAATGTAAGGAGCATTCTAACCACTGACCATCAATGTAAGGAACATTCTTCACACTGATCACCAATGTAAGAGGCATGCTTACCACTGACCATCAATGTAAGGGGCATTCTACACACTGGCCAACAATGTATGGGTCATTTCTCCTCCCACTGACCACCAATGTAAATTACATTGTTCTTTCACTGACTACCAATGTAAGGGACACTACAATGGCTACCAAAGTTTATGTATATTTATTTTATCATTACTTTACTAATAATAATTTTGTTATAAAGAGGAGGAGGGGTGTTAAGATATGGTTCACCAGGGGTTTCAAATACTCTAGGATAGCCTTTATCAACCCTTTTTACCTTAGAGGAACCCCTAAAATACATTTCTGCTCTCGGGGAACCCTTACTAAAGCTAATTCATTGGAGGTCAATGGGGAAAATGCCCCTTACATGGGTGGTTAGTTGGACAAATGCAACTCTCACAGACAGTGGTGATTAGATAACTTACAGACACAAGAAAAATACAATTGGGTCAAGCTGCTGGTTTTGCCAAGTGGAATTGGCCCTGGAACTATGCAGACACCATCAGATGTGAGGTCAATCAGCAGCTGAAAGAACCCTTAATAACCCCTGGAGGAAACATAGGGTTCCACGGATCCCCGGTTGAGAATGGCTGCTCTGGGAATAGCTTTGGTTGTCCTTCCTAACTCTACAGCAACTTAAACAAGATTTCCAAATACCTTCCACTGACTCCCACCACTTCAATTTTAGGCTTCGTTCACATGAGCCAAGTTTGCTCCCACGGAGGATGCATAGGTGTTTCATAACCTAAAAAACTGGAAGTACCACTATTTTATTTTCCAGGGTGTCTACTTTCAGAAAATATATAATATTTTATGCTTTTATTAATCTTTAGGCTTAAAATGATTTTTAACAATATGTACAAATTAATGCAAAAATGGCTCTGGCAACAAAAAGGGTTAACTCTTCCGTATTGCCCAACCGTGGAAATATCAATTTTGGGTGGACTGGCCTCTTAAAGAGATTCTTACACACTGTAACAGTCTAAATATCTGTTTCTCTTTTGTAAAAACTCAGATTATATTTTACTGATTTACTGGAGTGATCTGAAAATAAACTGCCACCTCTTTTCATTGACTTTACAGCCACTTGCCACCCTTTAAGGGTCATATTTGAAAAGACAGAGCGGGGTGTGGACAGCCAGAGGCCTCACCCTCAGAAAACCTTATCAGAAGAATTCAGCAAACAAACCCGAGGATATAAAATGACCCCCAGGGGAGCACGGGCCCTTCGCTGCCAGTCTGAATTCATCATCTAGACCAACAGGAGAGTGTCAGAATGGGACCGCAGGATCAGCTGGATCTTGGCCGCTGTGCTGCTGTTAGGGGTCACCTGCTCAGCCCAGAGTAAGTGTTTCATTATAAAACTCTTTGTTTTCTTTACTGATTGTGGATTTACATGCTGAAGTGTCTTCCGTCAAAGATTCCAGGATTTTGCTGCTTAATAAAGTTATAGAACAGATATTATATATAAATATATATATATAAAAAATGTTATTTATTTATTACAGGTACTTATATAGAGCTGTCAATTTACGCAGCACTTTCTTTACATATATAGTGTACATTCACAACATTATATCTTTATCTCTATATTTGTTTCTCTCTTTAAATATATACAGTTGTGACCAAAAATTATTCAACCCCCAAATGCTGTAAAGGGGTTTAGGGACTATAGTGTACATTTGGAATTGTATTCAGAATCAAATCCTACAAGGACGTTGTAACTACCCAAATGCAACTAAAATGACATCAATTGTTTATGTAATACAGTAGTAAATGTTCTTATGTGGTTTTCTTCATTGCCACAATTATTCAACCCCTTAAAGACTACTCACTCTTGAAGAACAGAGGTTCATACAGGTGCTTTCCATCAGGTATTGAAAACACTGTGGATGTCACCGAGCAGCAATCAAGCATAATAAGCACCAATTAGGCAGCTTTAAAATGACTGTGATACTCAGCTCCTTCTAGACATTTACTGGTGTGGTTACAAACATGGTGAAGGCAAGAGAATGGTCCAGGAAGACAAGAGAAGAGGTGATTTCTCTTCACAGGAAGGGCAATGGCTATAAGAAGATTGCAAAGATGTTAAACATACCAAGAGACACCTTAGGAAGCATCATTCGCAAATTCAAGGCAAAGGGCACTGTTGAAACGCTACCTGGTCGTGGCAGAAAAGAAGATGCTGACTTCGACTGCTGTGCGCTACCTGAAGCGTAGAGAGTGGAGAGAAGTCCCCGTGTGACTGCTGAGGAACTGAGAAAAGATTTGTCAGATGTGGGTACAGAAGTTTCAGCCCAGACAATAAGACGCACACTGCGTAATGAAGGCCTCCGTGCCAGAACTCCCAGGCGTACCCCCTTGCTGTCTCCAAAGAATAAGAAGAGTCGACTGCAGTATGCCAAAAGCCATGTGGACCAAACCACAAAAGTTGTGGGATAGTGTTCTGTGGACTGATGAAAAAAAAAATTAGAACTGTTTGGGCCCATGGATCAACGCTATGTTTGGAGGAGGAAGAACAAGGCCTATGATGAAAAGAACACCTTGCCTACTGTGAAGCATGGTGGAGGGTCAATCATGCTTTGGGGCTGTTTTGCTTCTGCAGGTACAGGGAAGCTTCAGCGTGTGCAAGGTACCATGAATTCTCTTCAGTACCAGGAGATATTGGATGGAAACGTGATGCAGTCCGTCACACACCTGAGGCTTGGGAGACGTTGGACCTTTCAACAGGACAATGATCCCAAGCATACCTCCAAGTCCACTAGAGCATGGTTGCAGAGGAAAGGCTGGAACATTTTGTAACATTTTTTGGAGTGGCCATCGCAGTCACCAGACTTAAATCCGATTGAGAACCTCTGGTGGGACTTAAAGAAAGCAGTTGCAGTGCGCAAGCCTAAGAATGTGACTGAACTGGAGGCCTTTGCCCATGAAGAATGGCGAAGATACCCGTAGATCGCTGCAAGACACTTGTGTCAAGCTATGCTATCAGTTTAAAAGCTGTTATAACTGTAAAAGGATGCTGTACTAAGTACTAAGATTGAATGTCACTTGGGGGTTTGAATAAAACTGATAATGCTGTGAGCACAGAAAAGACATTTGTGGTTATTTCATTATAACTGTTTATGTTATATTTGTCTGACCTACAAGTGCCTCTTTAATGTAAATGTAAGCAAGATGACTGAATGATCAAAAGCAATGTCAAACTGGCCAAAACACTCAATTTCAGTGGGGGTTGAATAATTTGGTCACAACTGTACATTATGTACGTATGTATGTGTGTTATATATAATATACTGTATACTCTTTATTTTTGCATTTTTATTATATATATTATATATACTCAATTTTTTTGTATATATATATATACACATATATATATATATATATATATATATGTATATATAAAATAGGCTATGCACCTTGCTCCAGCTACCCAAGCAAGGCTTCCATTAGCTATTCTAATCAATAAAGTAGATGTAAACCCCAGCTGAACAATATTTCATTTGCTAAAGCACTATGTATCATAAACAATTGTTATTTTCAAAAAATAAAATACCATTTTAACCACTTGCCACTTAACCACTTTGAGTAACTAGATACCAAACATGTCATGTTTTCAAATTGCACATGTCTGTGGAATGGCGTCAAGCTGCGAACATTAAATTATCCATAGGCGACACCTTAAAACCCTTTAGGATTACACAGGGTGTCTGGTACTAGAATGAATGCTCTTGATCTGGCATTCACGGAGATATCTCACATGTGTGGCACGATAGCTGTTTACGCAAACGTACTGATGCATGCAGTCGCCTTTTTGCGAGCACGGAGGGACGGGGGTGCGTTACATTTGTTTAACAAAACATGTAATATTTAATTTATTTTATTTACAAAAAAAATTATGCTGTACATTTACATTTTTTTTATCAACTTTATTACTGTCACAAGGGATGAACAACAACATGGGCAGTGACAGGTCCTCTTTACTGAGAGATCTGGGGTGCATTAGACCCCATATGTCTCCTCTTCCCTTATAAGCATCGAATCAAACCGAGATCAGTATGATCCAATGCTTTCCCAAGCCAGCAATGGTTTCTTTACATCTGGCAAAACTAGAAGTGACAAAATATTTGTTGCTTCCGGTTTCTTAGACTGGGGACGTTTCGGTCCTCCTAGATTAAATCCCCCCAACCCCCCCCTCCTTGCATAACCGCCTCCAAATTCCCCCTCCTATCACAAATCCTTTCTCTCCACCTAAATCCCCCCTCCCAATCCCCCCCTCCTAGCAAAATCTCCCTCCAATCCCCCCTCCTAACTCAAATCCCCCCCCCCAAGCCCCTTTTCCTAGAACAAATTCCCTCCCCCCACTCCACTCTCCTAGCACAACCCCCAACCCCACCTCCTAGCACAACCCCCCCCTCCTGGCACAACCACAACCACCCCCATCCCCTCTCCTAGCACAAATACCCCCCCAATCTCTGCTCCTAACACAAATTCCCCCAATTCCCTCTCCTAGCTCAAATTCCTACCCAGGGGCGGACTGACCATTTGGAAACTCGGGCACTGCCCGAGGGCCCGGGGTCAGTAGGGGGCATCTCATGGAAACGCTGCAGAAAAGCATGTATTGCGTTTTTATTGCGTTTTGCATTTTAAATCTGCCTAACAACAAGAAAAAAAAATGCAAAATGCGTCAAAAACGCAGGTGCAAAAATACAAAATGCAACGCAAAACGCAATG